GTTTTCCTGTATGCAAACAAGTAAAACTAATTATTTGGACTACATATGAATACAAGAATGGAAAATATACCTCTTACTTTGGGAGGAAACAATGTGAATGGGGGCTAGTTAGTCCATACAGCGAAATAATCAAGGTTTATTGTTAGCTTAGAGATACCCTTGGAGTATGTCTCTGTGACAACCAACTCCCATTTCTAGTAGAATGAAAGATCAAAACTAAAATCCAACTCAATTAGGTTTTGATAAAGAATTTGGGAGAAATAATATTCATTTTGAGAATATAAGTACGATAGTATCTAATAGTTCCTTGGAAATGATAAGATAACAAATGACAATAATAATCATGTGATGGTAAATTTGTTGTCAAAACAAATAACAATAATCCTAAATCCATTATAACTAATAGTTTTTAAATATTAATATAACAAATGTCTAAAATCGTGGATGTGTTACTCAATTGATGTAGACCCCTTTTATGGATTATGGTTTAAGTTGATGATTATATTGATTTTAGAGGAAAAACAAAAAAAAAACTCAAAAAAAATCCCCACTGGACATTAAGATAACATTATGTTATCTAGATGTGAAAGTTCATTTCAAATAGGATTCAAGAGGAGGAAAAGGAAATATGATGTTAGGACAATTAATCAAACACATGGTAGCAAATGGAAATAAAAATCAATATAACATAGAATAAGTGGAAAGGAGATAAGAACCAAATGAAGTGGAATGACAATGGATGAGTCACGCCACTTGGGTGGTGGATACCCAAGATAAGTGGTGGTGCCGCCACTTGAATCACACTCAAGATAAGACTAAGAGAGGCTGAGGAACACTCACAAGACAAGTTGAAAAATTCTCACTAATTATTTTCTCATCCAAAAGTCCCTTTACAAGGTGAATGAGAGCCTTATTTATAGGCTTGGATGATCCCCAAATTACAATCAAATGCAGCTAAAATTACATGTAAATTAACCCTAAAGAATGGTCTAGAAACTAGGTTTACACCTTAATAATAAACAATCTAACATAGATTAAGTTACTCGTACACTAATCAACATAAAATTACCTAACTTTTTTTTAGTTGTTATCTCTTTATCTTTAATATTTTTTTAGGATAAGCTTTCTTAACTGATATAATTCCTATTAGTGAAAAGATATTTTGACGACCCATTTTTACAAATATTCTATTAACAAACTTAAAATATTAATTTTTTAGTTGATCGATAAAGAGAGAGTGAAGTAAAATATATCTCGGAACTCTTCCTATTATGATGCTCCATATTCCTTCTAAAACACATTAGCCCATGTAAACCTTTTCCCATTAACAATCTAATTACAAATTTCTTAAGGTTTCTGAATGTTCTGCTTATCTCTTCTTATAAATCATATAACTGCCAATCAAATCTCCTATCTCAATTCTACATAAAAGTTATGTTGTCGCAATTAAGACAGAAAAACATGATCACCAAATATAACCCACTTATGTCAAAGAAGCTCTAGCCAAACTTGAAAGCCTCTTAACCATGCTTCAAGAATATGCAACTTTGATGTTTAACCTCACTTGGACAATTATAGACCTTCTTACTGAATGCAAAGCTATTTATTGATTGTAAATGGATGTTCAAATCCAAATATAATGAGGACATGCTTTAAAGACACAAGCCTCGACTAGTTGCTAAAGTCATAACTTTGCAGATGTTGTTTAATATTAAACATCTGTGTTCGTTGCATTACTTCTAAGCATTAAGCTTGTTTATACCAAAAGTTACGTGTTCTTATTCCAAAGTTGATACTAATTAAGAAAATTATGAATAACTCTTGAATACAATAACTTTAATTAATGTTAATTAAAATATATCACTAATTGATATTTTAAACTATTAAGTATTATTTTATATTAAAATAAATTTTATATTTTGTGATAATTAAAATATTCTATGAAAAAATTAAATTCAATAAACTTAAATTATCTTATTATACAACACATTTAAAAAATAAAATAATCTAAAATAAAGTCAATATAAATTTAATATATTAATTTTAAAAAAATTATAAAATCCCTTATCTATTTGTTAGATTTTTTATATAAAAAAATTTATATAATCACATTGAACATTCTATTTTGAAAGATTTACAGTAATGCGATTCAGCGTCTCACAAATTGTTTTAAGATAACAAAAAGTTAAACTCATATATTATAATAACTTTGAATCCTCTCTTCTTGTAACTCCACAACCAACAATTTTAGGGTAAACTTTTTTATTTCAATAATATAAAAGTTATTCTTAATACAAAATTTATAACAAATTATATGCACTCTTTTGGGCAAAAATAGCATAAGCATATCCATAACAGCTAACTTTATTACTTCAACAGTTTAATATTACAACTTTGATAAGGTAAAAGAGAAAACACAATACAACTTCACTTCAATGGATAACGAGCTGAATAAAAACTAAAACTTAAATAACCACATAACGAGCTGAATTTTTTGCGAAATAAGGAGAAGAAAGAAGCTAATAAAACTTTAATATAAATCATTTTGAACTTTATATTCTTCACGCTTCCTGCAACCAATGTCTCGTGCTGAAATTCTAACTTCTGCACACACCAAACACATATTTCACATGTTAATGAAGGAAACCCAGTTCTGGGTATGTGGTTAAACAATTTCACACGTGAAGAAGAATAAAAACCAAATGAATTCAGTTTGAACCTGATATTGAAGAAAGTGGGTAAGAAATGAAGACATGAAAGGAATAATTAAAGACTGAATTATGATGAAATAAACTAAGCAGAAAAAAGGATTTAAATAATTGTACTTACTATTTGATGACTTAGGAGTAGATTTTGTTAACACAGACCGAATTTGAAAAAATTTTGATGGTTTTGGTTCAGCAGATTGTGATGGCATAGGAAGAGTTTCATGAGACTTTGATGGTTTTGGTTCAGCAGATTGTGATGGCATAGGAAGAGTTTCATGAGACTTATTATTATCTCCCTTTGCAAGCATCTTCTACAAACCTGTGTTTAGATGATTCTTTGTGCGTGTATGTTTGATTTCTACCTTCAAACTTAATTGCATCACTATTTATAATAACAATGGTAACATAATAATTATCGAATCCAACAATAATAATGATGCCAAATGAACCTGATTCACAAGGATTACATTCCCTCTAATGCATCACTTTAGTTTTTCCACAACCAAATCTTATCTAATCCAAAAAGTTATATATATATATATATATATATATATATATATATATATATATATATATATATATATATATATATACATGTACGACCAAAACATAGTTTATTCTAGTACTCCCCCACAAATTTATGCACATATATATGACTGAACTTCCTGTCTTTTTTTATGAAGTAAACTTGGTTTGCGTTACCATATCAACTATTTCGCAAAATAATTTTCTTTTAGCTAAAAAACATAATAAAAATGCCGACAGTTTCTTCTAGTTTAAATAAAGACTCCCAATAAAAAAAAAAATTGGTTAAAAATGTCATCTAGTACTGATTAAAGAGCAGTTAAAGGACTTACAAGATAGTCTTAGCTTGACCATGTGCTGATGTAAAAACTTTCATTTTATTGGGTTTCGAAACTCTTTAACAGGTTCCGGTTGGGATTATCACAAGTTTATCTTGTGTCTAACATCGTATCTTGTTATTATACCAAGATCTATCTATATATATATATATATATATATATATATAGAGAGAGAGAGAGAGAGAGAGAGAGAGAGAGAGAGAGAGGTAATATTCCATCACCCTATCAAAAACTTAATAAATAATAAATAAATAAATTATGACATCATGTTAAAATAACTAAAAATAATATATTCTTGAATCTCTTATAAATATCATTTAATTATAAATTGTTATTTAAAATTTATAACAGTGAAATTAAAATTATTATCATTGTTTAAAATTAAAATAATTAAACCGTAAAGTAAATATATATGACAGTCGAATTACATATAGTAAAGCGTTTACAAGTTCATTTTTTTTTAAATTTTATAAATTTTTTCATTTTTGTATTATTTTTTTAAAATATATAAATTATAATAATTATTTTTCTTTAAACTATAATATTTTTTTTCTTCGATTATATAAAATAATTGTTACAAAAGAGTTTATATATATATATATATATATATATATATATATATATATATAATTTCCTTATTAAAAAATATTTCTTAGATGTTAAGAAATACTTTGATTTGTGTTTTTAACAAACTCAAATAATATCTATTAAAAATATTAAGTTTACATATGAAATAAAAAATAAAGTAATTCAAAATTATAAGAAATCAAAATCTAAAATTATGAATTAGTTTAAATAACGTATTTATGGTTTATAAAAGAAAAACTTGAAAACAATTAGTAAAATAGTTATTCTTACCTTTAAGCTTATTAAATATATTCTTATTGTTTAAATTTGATTTTGAATTAATTAATCAAAATTTGAGTAGATATTATACAACATGCTATTAGATTTGATTACATTTTTCATGTTTTTATCTTTTCGTGCAATCCATTCTCCATTTCTCGCACAACATAAACAAGTCTTTGATTAGATTTTGACTTGATATCCCCTTGAAAATTTCAACTTCATTTTTTATTTGTGTAATTTGCAGCATAAATTTGGTTAGATTATATACTTTGTAGAGAACATTTTTAATATAACGCATACTAGTGCTTTAGTTTTACAGTTTGGTCTAATCTAGTTTGTTAAATTTATAATTAAATGAATAAACTTATATAGATTCGCACATTAACCACAGAACAGGTATTTTGAATCCATTTTGTCCAATTATGCAAACAAACATGCTAATCAAAAACTTACAAACCAAACTTGTTTAAACTACAAACTCTATCACAAACCAAACTTTTACCACCAACTAAAACAACTCTAATTTATACTAAGTTGTTGCAAAAATGTAAATAAACTTATATTTCCGTAGAAAACAAACTTATATGATGTCTGCAGTCTCCATTTCAAGCAGCTGAGCTATGCTTCGCATACTTGGTCGAGATTGAGGGTTTGTCTTTAAGCATGAAAGAGCCAAGTTGGCAATCAATTCCACTGGCTTCAAAATATGCTTCTTGGAAGGAGGCAAGAGACGAGGGTCTAAAATCTCTTTCATGTTTAGCTTTTGTTCTCTACAACTTTGTATGTAGGAAACAAGGTCACTGGGGTGCTTTCCTGTAAGAACTTCCAAAGCCAAAACACCAAAGCTGAACACATCACATTTCTCAGTCACTGCCATTGTGTAAGCTAGCTCTGCACCACAATCAATATTAATTAATTTGCTAACAAGAACCAGGAAGTTTTATTTGCTGTTGGCACTCAACAATTTTAAATAAAAATGTACTAAATTAGTTTGAAACAAAAAGGAGTGAGACAAAGTCACCTGGGGCAGCATAACCATATGTGCCAGCAAATGATGTCCAAATAGGTGAATCTGGCTTCAGAAACCTTGCAGTTCCAAAATCTGAGACATGAGCTGAAAGATTGAAGGATAGTAAAACGTTTTTGCTTGATATGTCTCTGTGAATTAAAGGTGGAGTGCAATCATGATGCATATAGGACAAAGCACTTGCTACACCTTTGATGATATCAACCCTCTTGTGCCAATCTAGTTCCAATGCATCATTTTCACCTTTCAGCATGTCAGCTAAGTTCCCTCTATCCATATATTCATAAATTAAAAAGGTGTGCATCCCTTGCGAGCAAAATCCATAAAGCTTGACAATGTTTCGGTGACGTGTTTCTGTCATGGCTTTTACCTCATTCTGAAAGGATTTTATACTCTCAACATCTAAGTAGTCTGCATCACACTTCAACCTTTTTACAGCAAATACTTGACCTCCTTTCATCTCCGCTTTATAAACTTTTCCCAGTGCTCCTTCCCCAATGCAATACTTGCTGTCAAAGTTCTCGGTAGCCTCAATTATGTCTCTGTACACAACTCTCCCATTGAAGTACCAAATTGAAAATGGATTCAGTCTACTGAATGAATTTCTTTGTCTTGGAGCTCTTGATTTCCTCTTATAGGTCAAGAAAAAAATCCCGACTAACACCCAAGAAATAAAAAGAGCACCTCCCAAGGAAGCAAAAATAGGAATCCCTGCCTTGTGTCTTTTACTTGATCCACCATCAGGTTTAGTGAGAGAGAAATTACAAGGGCGCAGGCCCCGAATATGGCCACACAAATCTTTGTTGTTGCTCAAATCCAGGGGATGAGAAGAGTTGAATATACCAGCATCAGGAACTGGACCCTCCAAATTATTGTAGGAGAGGTTGATGTCTGACAAACTCAGCACTTCACTAAGGGAGCGAGGGATAGAACCTGAGAGATTGTTGTGAGAGATATTCAAGCTTATCAAATTTGAAAGCTTCCCGAGATTAGCAGGAATATCTCCTGAAAGTGAGTTGTAACTCAAGTCCAAAAAATATTGTAAAGCTGCAAGGTTTCCAATTTGGTAAGGGATTGTGTCGTTAAAATCATTGTTGCTCAGATTTAAACTCTCCAAGTTGGAGATGTCCCCTATCTGATTTGGGATTGGACCCAACAGCATGTTCATGGAGAGGTCTAACGACTGCAAACTGGAAAGCTTTCCAATTTCTGACGGTACCTTACCAGAGAGTTTGTTGTGACTCAAATTTAATTCATACAAGTTAAAGGAATTTCCTATCTGTGGAGGAATCTCTCCTGATATTTGGTTGGAGGATAGGTCAAGCACTTGTAGTTGGTCCAACTGAAAAATATCACTTGGAATGTTGCCACTTACTCCATTCCCTGCCATGTTGAGAAATTGCAAGTTTTTGCAGGCACCCCAATTTGCAGAGAGGTCACCTTCCACCCTGTTGTATCTGAAGTCCATGTAATTGAGGTTAGGATACACGCCAAAATCCTTATCAGCAAAACCTGTCAGCCGGTTGTATTCAAGTCGAACTCTGTACAAAGATGGGCAGTTTCTAAGACTTCTTGGAATTGGTCCAGTGAAACTATTATAGGCTGCACTAAAATTTACAAGTTTCCCACTTTTGCACACTTCTGGTGGTAATTCACCAACAAAGTTGTTCTCCGCAAGATGCAGTACAATCAAAGAAGACAAGTTGCCAAATTCTTGGGGCACTGTGCCATTTAAGTTGTTGGAGAAAAGGCGCACATCGGTTAGATTGGTTAATTTACCAATACTTGGGGGTATTGGGCCTGAGAGATTGTTTTGAGACATTCTAAGAATGCTTAAATGTGTGCAATTGCCTAGAGATGGGGGAATAGGGCCATCGAAGTTGTTTCCATCTAGAGCTAGCAGAGTCAAGTTTCTAATGTTCCCTATTTCATCTAGAATTCTACCTCCAAGCAAAGTGTCCTGGAAGAGAAGATTCCTGATACCAATGAGGCCACTTTTGGGACTGTCAGATCCATCAGGAAATAGGCGAGGGTCTAATACCCCTGATATGTTATTTCTTGACACATCAAGCTCAAAAACTCGAGTCAGATTGGCGATGGAAAGAGGCAAAGTGCCATTGAGATAGTTGGTGGAAAGGTCAAGGAATTGGAGGTTTGAGAGCACCCCAATATTTTGTGGAATGGAGCCAGTGAGGTTGTTTACTTTGAGATCAAGACGAAGCAGGTTAGGAAAAACAGACAAGTTCAAATTTAGAAGGGTACCTGCAAGTCCAGTATAAGCCAGGTTTATTATAGTGACACTGCCTTGCGAATCACATGTGATACCTCGCCATGAACATGGAGTTTGAGCTGTTGCAGTGTAATTGATCACCCATGTGTCCAAAATGGGTTGCTGAGGGAGATTTTGTTTCCACCTCAGAAGGGCATCAACTTGTGTTAGCCCTGAAGTGCCTTCACAGAGAGCCAGCAAAAGCACCAATGTAGCTGGAATCGCAATGCAGGCATAAGACGTGTTGTTGTTCATTGTAATGGTCAGAAACTGCTTATTTGATCACTCTCACCTTATAAATAGTCCATCAAAATCCATTTCTTTATTTTCTTAATTTGTATCATGTTAGTCGCCTTGTATATCACTACATTTACATTTTCTCCTCTTTTATCTCTATCAAAGTATCCCTCGTGTTCATGCATCATTTTCATATGTCGCATCGACATTTATGAAGTTTTTGTTCTTCTCACCAACAGCCCCGAAGACCTTCTTGGCATAGTTGACTTAATAGTTGACAGTGAATGAGACAGGATCGCGTTTATCATTGATTTGAGGACGTAATTTCTCTGTCTCAAGAAAAATGGCATCAAGTTGGATAAAAATCTCCCCTTTCCTGTCTCATTCATTTCAAGTTTGACAAGTCAATTATGGGAAGCTCCTCCTTCCCTTAAATCTTCATCTTCAACAACAGGGCTTCGAAGAGAGACGCAGCCCAAACTGAGTTCCACGAACTCTGCATGTGCATGAATCCACTGTGATGATGTTTAAATATCAAAATTTTAATTAGTTTTTTCTATATTTTTACTTAATTCTCACTTTCATATCACTCCAACATTTTAATTACACGTTGTTTTATATCATTTATTCAATTGTTTTATTATCATTTATTTAAATTAGATATTAAAGATTTTTATTATTATTTAAAATAAAAAATATATTATATTATTATTTTGATTTAAGTAGTTATGATTGAAATATGATTAATATTTGATATTTTGTTATATTTTTATTTTTTATATAAATAAAGTATATCAATAAAAACAATGATGAAGCTTTTAATTATTTATAAATTTGATCTCTTACTTTTTCATATTCATTTATTATTTATTAATAATATATTATTTAGTCTTTTTAAAATTATTAGTCAAAATCCGACACTAAATAAAAAATATACTTACATTTATATATTAAAAATTTTATCAAAATTCACAAGAAAAGAAAAAAATAAAGAAGACAAAAGTGAAGTCATGTTTATATGTAAATATTTCACAAATGATTGTCACATTAATCATTACTCTAAAATCACCCAAATAAATTTAGAATTATTTGAAAAAAAGAATATAAAGTATCCAGAGGATCTTTAGAATTTTAAAAAATAAAATCTCAACAACTAATCTGATCAACATCATTGTTGGAAAACTAGATCCTAAGAAATATCGCTCAAAAAATAATTGCTAGATATGTAAAAACATTTTACAATAAATGTACCTTGAGAAAGAGAAGACATAAGCGATTTTGAAGGCCAAGAACTCACCCAAAAGAGTGAAGAACTTGAAAAATATGATCATGAAATAAAGAAGCTTAATTGAGATAGAAAAATTATAAAAATGGAAGAAATTTAAATCTACCATAAATTTACTTATGAAAGACAATAACATGAAGAGGAAGAAAATGTCTTCTTCACGTTATATTTTGTAGAGAATAGATCAATGAGATCAAGAAAACAAATTACAACATATTAGGAATTAAATTAAAGATTATCAATTACAAAAAAAATGAAAACTTTGTGAAAAGAAATATAATGATAAAAAAGAAATATCATGATAAAAGAAAAAAGTTTATTTGCAAATGATTACAAAGAAAAACATGGGAGTGAGACAATGCAATTAAATAAAGAGATGATTACATAAAAACTTACAAGAAAAGAATGATAAAATTTATGAATAAAAAAAAGAGAGAAAAAAATAAAAAAATATTAAATTCAAATAAACAAATTGAGATATTATAAATATTTAATATTTTATACATCAATAAAAAGTTATTCATATATTTCATATATATACAAAATACAAATACATGATCAGTAAAAATTCTAATCAATATTTAAAATACCCACTTTGATTTTATTAACCACATCTCAATCAACAAAAAATTTAAAATAATTTTTAAAATGTCATGGTAATACATTCTAAATCATGAAACAATTTTTTTAGTGCCTATATATATATATATATATATATATATATATATATATATATATATATATATATATATATATATATATATTGAAAATTATAACTATTAAATATTTAATACTCTTGAAAAGGGAAAGAATACGAGTATTCTGAAAATTAAATAATGTTATGCAGGTTCTAATACATTCAATATCTTAAGGAAAAAAAATCCCAAAGTAAAATTAGCCTAATTAAATACATTTTATCCAGGAACAATTTAAAACACATTAATTTAACATTTTTCATAAACTCCAAGGCCAAATTGTTCTTTTCAATCTTGTTTTTAATTTACAAGTATTGTCATTTATATCTGCGCATATATACATGAATATATGCACTAAAAGAAA